TAAAATAGAGGAGACAGGCTAGTTTTTTAGGTTCTTTCATGGATACTGAATTTCAAAAATTAAATGAAATATAACAGTGAGACACAGATGAAAAATTTTAAATCTGCATATCAAAGTTATTGACCAGTTACTTAATAAGTACATGCCCTGTTACTTGGAGTGTCACTGCTGAGCTCTCCTTCTCTCTCCCACTCTTCCCATTGACACTTCTCAGCCTCTGGCTTCCTGCCTTACCCCCCCAGAACCAGATCATCTGTGGGGAAGAAGGTGGGAAGGAACACCTCATCCTGCCATGGTGGGACCCTTCCCCTTCCCCTTTCCCCTCGCCTATCTAATGGCAGTACATTCGTTAGGTGAGTAACGAATTTGCCAAGCCCTGGACTAAGGCTGTTTTGTTTGTTTTAATGTTCAAGTAGGTCACCCAAAGAAATTTTTAACAATTATTCCTCCAGAGGTTTGTTTTAATTTTTTTCTTGAAACAATCTCAAACTCAGAAAACTTGCAAGTACAAGTAACATTTTTTTTCATGAATTATTTGAGAGTAAGCCACCAACCTGTTGCCCACCATCCTTGATTTTCCTACAAACAAGGACATTCTCCTACAAAGCCCAATGAAACCATCAAAATCAGGAAATTAACAGTGACACATTACTACCACCTCATCCCCAGACCCCATTCACGGGGCCCAAGAATGTTCTGTAGAGCAAAAGGAGCCAGAGGAAATCATGTGCTGCATTTTGTTGTCCTGTCTCTGTAGTCTCCTTCAGTCTGGAACAACTGCTTAGCCTTTCCTTGGTTTTCATGAACTTGGCACTTCTGAAGAGTACAGGCCATTTATTTCGTAGAATGTCTCTTGATTTGGTTTTGTCTGCCGCTTCCTCATATTGGTTCAGGTGATGCACCTTTGGCAGGACTATCCGAGAAGTGATGCTGGGTCTTCCCGTTACACCTGGTCAGGTGGCACATGATTTTGATTTGTCCCGTTACTGATGGTGCTCATTTAGATCACTTGTGGATGGTGACATTTGCCACACTTCTCCACTATATTTAAAGTTATTCTTTTCCCCTTTGTAACTAATAAGTATCTTATGGGGAGGTATCCTGAGGCTGTAAGTATCCCATTCCTCTTCAAACTTTCAATTATTTTATGGATTCGTGGTTTTCTGTTTTAATAAATGGGTTATAATCTGTTAACTCTTATTATTTTGATGCTCAATTTGTTCTAGATTTGGCCAGGGGATCCCTTTTGAGCCGGCCTCAGCTCCCCCTTGCTGTGCCCCCATCATTCTTCGAGCGTTAGAGAATGGTGAGATGTCCAGGCTCATCTTGTACTTTTCCATCACCAGCCTGGAATCAGCCATTCTTCAAGGTGGGCTAAGTGCTTTGCATATATTATCTTAGCTAACTCTCACAACATGAGAATCATGAGCTGATAACTGGTAGTGTCTCCATTTTGCACACCAGGAGACTGAGTCTCAGAGATGTTAAGTAACTTAGTGTTGCACAACTTGAATTTGGCAGAGCAGGGATTTGAACTTGGGTCTGCTTGACTTTGGAGACTGTGTTACAAATCACTCTGCTTTAGATGATCCCCAGCTTTCCACTCTGTCTATCCACATCACCTTCCACGTTGTAGAACCTATTGACCTATATGGATAAGAAAGTTGCTATTGGAAAGTGTGCTCAGCATTCCAAGTGAGGTGGCCAGGAAGTCCTCTCCTGCAGTTTCTCTGACACAAGGACTGGAAAGAGGCCAGCCTCTGCCTCCCTCACCCTCTGCTCGTCCAGGAGGCTGCAGTTCAGCCATGGGCTTGTTGGGAGGAACTTAGGCAGAACTAGGCAGAAGCTCTGGGCATAGCAGCAGCAAAGGAAATGTCTTTTCCTTTTTTAAAAATCTTATTTTATTTTTTAGGCTTGAGGGGCCTGGGACATAAACTAGGCTTGCTGAAATCCAGTGTAATGGAAGCCATCCCTGCCACTGAATTCTTTAAAAAGCATGGTCGCTGTTGTCTGTCCCAGGAGCCTGTCTGGCCACTCTGTGAATTCTCTCTCCTTCTGCCTCCAGGCTGGGTCTCAGGCTGCTGAACGTACAGCCAGCTGGTAGAGGGGGATAATGACAACCAGCCATGGAGTAGTTTAGTTTCTGCTTCTTCTTGCCACATGGCCTTGTTCATTAACCCTCCTGTTTCCACAGTTTCTGATTCTGGTCCCTTCCTAATAAGACTGCACGTAGCCTTCTCCAAAGAGGCACTCCTCACTAATTCTGCTACATGCTGATCCTTCCCTTACTCTGCATTTGTCTTTGCATCCACACTGTCCCCAGTCAATGTCATCACATCTTTGTGTATTTATGTATATACTGTGAGTATTTTCCAGTTGTTTGATGTCTAGAAGTATGTCTCCTCTTCCTAGTTAAGGTCTAACTATCTCAGGTGAAGAACACGGTCTTCAGCATCCTCTGTTTATCTTGTAGCAACTTGTAATGAATTACATTTATATCATCACCTTTCTGTAAATGTGTGTTGAATCAATGAATGCTTGTCCACGTGTGGCCCTGCGTGTGTCTCAAAGAATGTGTGTCCACATTTTTTTTGGATACTCTAATGCTTTGGATTATACTTCTCCATTCCCTGTATTACCATAGAAGTTCTAGGCAAGGGATCATTTAGTAAAACTCTTGTTTTGTAGATGAGAAAGCTGAAGCTCAGAAAGTTGTCATATCTACCTGGTAGTAAAACTAGAGTCAAAACCCCAAATCCTGGCTCCTTTTCTAAAACTTCACCCACTGCATCATTCAACATTCTTCATCATTAGCAAGTACAAATATTTTTGATTATAACTACTTGTTAATTAGCAAGGGTGGGGTTGTGTGGAGTTAAAGTTAGTAATTTAATAAAGCTTATATCGGAGTGAAAAAAGGAAAATATACTTTGATTTAAAGTATGAAATTTTAAAGAATAAACCTGGTAGTTTTACAAGGAATTTTACAACTTGCAAATTAATTTTTTGTATGAAGTCTTTTCTAGAACACATCGATAGGAACATTCTGTTTCAAAATACCTAAGAGATTTCTATGTTAAGAATTAGGGTGCCCAGAGAGGTACAGAAAGTTACCTTTCTGTTAGAGAAAGTTACAAGACCTAGGGTTTGTCTTCAGTTCTGGTTTCTTCTTGTCTATTATTAAATCACTTAGTTTGTTACCCCTCCTTTAAAAAATACAAAGGTGGTAATTTTAATTTGGAGGTAAAGAGTCTATAGGATTATTGTAGGGGGTAGAAAAGAATATGTCTGAACTGCATAAATGCCCAGAATCGTCTACATTAGGGGTCACTGCTGTGTTTGTGCCATGGATCCCTTTGGCATCTGGTGAAGCCTCTCGACCCCTTCTCAGAATAATGTTTTTAAATGCATGAAGTAAAACATATAGGATTACTAAGGAAAAAATATTGAAATGTAGTTATTAAAATATTTAAAGAACAGGGCTTCCCTGGTGGCGCAGTGGTTGAGAGTCTGCCTGCCGATGCAGGGGACGTGGGTTCGTGCCCCGGTCCGGGAGGATCCCACATGCCGCGGAGCGGCTGGGCCCGTGAGCCATGACCGCTGGGCCTGCGCGTCCAGAGCCTGTGCTCCACAACGGGAGAGGCCACAACAGTGAGAGGCCCGCGTACTACAAA